TATTTTTGTCTCTTTCTTGTGCAGATTCAAGCTTCCAGAGAACGTTTTGACGGATCAGGTCACGGCGTGGATGGAGGATGAATTTCTCGTCGTGTTCGTCGCGAAAGATGGTTCGCATTCTTCGCCGCCGTCGCTTCCACCGGAGAATCGGAACGTGAGAGTCGTAGAAATTATCGGCGACGATGAGTGATTTAAAGTGTTTTACTTAAAAAAAAAAGTGTAATACTATTATTATCTACTATATGAAAATGGAATCTATATATTTATGAAAATAGTATATATATATTTATTTTCTTATTGCATATGTAGTAGTCTAAATGACTATCGCTTTTTTTTTCTTTTAATGTCTATCGGTTTTACTACTTAAACAACAACGCAAATACAAAATTACATAAAACAAAAAGTTATATATGAATGGGAAAATACTTTTGGAAACAGAATGTAGGTGGGATAAATTTAGTTTTGTTCATCCTTCACTGTAATGTCATTACTTTTAGGTGAGAAAATACTTTTAGCTTTGCAAGCCATTACTTGGTATATCAACCCTATCAAATGTCACTCTGTGTATGTGGGTGTTTCCATTTTCTTATGGTTAGTCTGATTTGTCATTTGTCATAGTGCATAATTTTTTAGAGTTAAAGAATGAGATTTTGATTACTTTTTGGCCAAAAGATTCACTATTCTGAATTTTGGTTACTTTGTTTTTCACCTTCCCATAGATGGATAGTCTGTTGTTGATTCGTTGTTTAACTACCAAACAGTATTAAAGATATGGTAGCCTAGTGGTAACACAAGAGGATTGGTTCTCTTATATCCCAGATTCAAACCTCTTTTGGTACGGCAGGTTATTTTTTAAATCGGAATATCTAAAGACTGCCTCTGGGTACCGAAGAGATTATGAGCTTAAAAGAAGCCTTGAAACCAACATCTTACTTCATGTGCTTTTGTATTTAAGGGTTGTTAAATATCGAGATTTCGTATCAAAAGATTCACTATTCTGAATTTTGGTTACTTTTTTTTTTCCAATGCTTGGATAAATCTTTGAGTAGATTGGGGATTGACCAAGACCATATGCGCTTCGAGTACAGCTTTAAGTTCCTCATACTTGCAAATTGAAGTTTCGTATCCTCCGGGAAAACCGAATTTAAGAACATTGGACACAAACAATTTTGCATGTCTCATATTGTTAATGTATCAACTCGCTTGCGGACATCAGTTAACAGTGCACTTGTCTATATTATGTGTGCAACACACAAACACATTGGGTGTGTACATGATTTTTTGTTTGCGTGCTCCCTTCGACACCCACACATTATGTGTGTTTTATAGTTTGAAAAAATGGCGTTAATAAATAAATATAACAGAAATTAGTGTTTGATTAGAAATTAAAAAGAAAGAAAAAAAAAGAGAGAAAAAAATAAAAATGAAAGAATAAAAAAAGAGAGAAATATGGTTAGATTGAATTTTACGAACGTTGTTGTTTCCGCAGTTTTTTTGATCTGGCTTCATGTCTTCCAAGCACATACAAGTATGAAAATGTGTGCATTAGAACAGGGGATATGTTTACGCTTTATGTGCATAATCTTTTTTTTTTCTTTCATTTTTTTAGTTTATGAAATAGTTAGAGTCCAACTGAAATCGCATCAGCTATCAACCAATAAAGACGAAATCATGCTACAAAATCACATTGACCAAATCTACTACGCGGAGATACAAATGGAAACTCCTGGGCAGAGGTTCACTGTTTTTTTTGATACATTACGGAAAATGTATCAACTCGCTTGCGGAGATCAGTTAATAGTGTGCACTTGGCATGTTTTTTGCTAGTGAGCAAATTAACTTTATCTAAAATTCTGGTGATGTTATTTTTTCAAATAAAAGAAGTAGGCAAATAGCATAGGTTTTGATAAATTAATATAATAAATTTTAAGCTTTGTTTTTTGAAAAAGAATTTTAAGCTTTGTTACTACACAATAGACTCCGAAGAAAACCAAACTAATATATTTAGAAATAATTTGACCTCCAAACTGTAATGTTTTTAAACTCCATACTAGATTTTGACTTTGCGGCGAGCGCAAAATTAAATAATTAAATAAGTTGACTAATCGAATTTAATATATACTCCTTCCGTTTCTTATTATAGGATGTTTTGGGTTAAAACACAATTCAACCAATTAAGAAAAAGTTTATAAAAACAATTCAACCAAAAGTTTATAAAAAGGTTTATATTAAATAATTAAATATAAAGCGCAGGGTAAAAATTTTTTTATCAAAAAATTTATTGAATATAAACAATTCAACCAATTAAGAAAAAAACTGCATAATACTATTGGTTACACAATTTTCAATAAAGTAAAAAGTACATAAAAATATGAAAACATCTTATATTATGAAAAAAAAAATCTCTAAAACATCTTATAATAAGAAACGGAGGAAGTATAATTTTTTTTTATTTAAACATATGACAAAGTATATAATTTATAATATCTATAAACTTAAAAATATGATATGTATTGTGCATAAATATAATAAAATTAATAATTTTGATCAAAAATATGATAATGCAATTAGTTTAAATATTTTTATGTGTAATACTAATCAAAACATATGCAATTTTGATTTTCATTATTCGTGTAAATTATAGATAATACGATAAATTTGATAAAATTTAGATTTATATGAATTTATTAGATACAACAAACAAAAAATAATATATGTTATCTAATAATGAAATGTATAGATATTTGTAATTGTGATTAAATATATAGACTATATCATAATAACGTTATTTGTATAGTTTACTAATCTAAATACATATATACAATAGATAATATTGTTATAAATATGATAATGGAAACTTGTTAATGTATAAAGAAAAAAAAAATAGATGATAAGGTAAGTCTAAAATATTACATTTAGTTGAATTTATATTTTTAAAACATGTATCAATGGGTTTATGTTAAAAAATTAATGAGAATATGTAAAGATTTCCACCATGTCATATAGTTTTAAATTAAATATTCTGATTGATTAATTTAAATGAAATGTTCTTTGAATTGGTCTTTGATCGATACATATAATTTTTTCTTTATTGTCTCCTCATTTAATATTTTTGGATCGATCTTGAATACCATCAGACATACTGTACATGGATATTCTTCTCACATTTTTCGCTGGGGAAGGGTTATACTGAAATTTTGGTTATTCTCAAGATTTTTGTAAAAAAATTCAAATTTTGTACAAATCTTGATTATCACTTGGTTCAATTGGTTTTATGGTTATTTGGGCTCTTTATCTTGGGCTTCTAATAGGATAGATAATATTAAATCTATTAGGCTTGACCCATAAACATTATGGCTTGGCATGTACTTTGTTTTTAATTCTCCTGCATTTTAATTTTAAAAAGATTATAAAAGAAAAAAGTCTCGTGACGTGGCGGTCTCGTATAGAGAAGCCTCTTCTTCAATTGGAGGGTCCACCATAGTAATTAATGTCTTAACCCTAAATTAAATGCCAAAGACGAATCTTAAATTAAAAGATTCTTTCTTTATTATATTTGAGATCGAGTCCGACCCGGATCCGAATCTGTGTATTTGACCCAACGCCAGCTCAAGGCCGACTTCGATTCTTCTATTTCGTATCTCCGTCAACATATTTTCTGTTGTTTACCGGAAACATCTAAAGACGTTCGACAAAAATTCGAACACGACACTAGAGATATATATATCTCCCGACGATTTTTAATTTGTATGATTTTGTTGTCGGTGAAGCAATCCGAACCGGAACTGGAATCGGATTTCGTCAGGATTTTTGGAGTTTTCTTCAATCGGTCGAGGAGCAATTATGGAATTGGGGTTTTCTCGGTAGTGAAGGATGATCCAGAGAAGACTGGATTGATCCGATCATCATGTGGTTTTCCTTCTTAAGACCTAGAGATCGATTCTCCTTAGGCGAACTCAGGTTTGAAA